TTTTCAATTTCCAACACAAATAAAGAATTGCTATTTTTATTATGAAAATAAAGGTGTTCATATGGTAATTGCATCTTTCAGAGAAAATCATAGTAGAACTTTATTTTAGTTCACTTATACTTATGCTTTTGGCTCATTTACACTAATCAATAATTATAATATGTACAATTATAATAATATAATCGGGAAAAAAGTATAATAAATTAATTTTCTAATTGCTAAACATGTTAAATTATGTTTAAAATGTATATAGAAAAGTTTGTGTGTCTCTTGTTCTTCAACAAGAGAAAGTCTTTATTAGGGGTTACTTTCTTCTTAAAAGTTATCTTGTATCTGTTTTAACTGGTTTAATATAAAGATAGCTAACCAATTTATATATGCATAGAGACCTGGTGGATTCGTTTTAAGTGTTGGGCTGCTAACCACGAGACTGGTTATTTAAACCCAATAGCTGCTCTGCAGAAGAAGAGGCTAGCTGCCTCTATAAGGATTTGCAGCCTCAGAAACCCTGCATAATCACCACGTGTCAAAATTGACTCAATGACAGTGGGCTTTGTTCTTCGATTCTCTTATTATCAAATATAACTGTGTGAGAGTATATAATGCAGTTTTATGCATATTAAGTGAGAATAATGGCACTGATTTTAATCATTGAATTCTGTGGTATTCTTTCCTTATTGATTGTATAAAACTAACTATTAAACTTCAGAGAGTACCAGTAACAAGTTTAAATTATTCTCAGTCACTGCCTGGCCCCAACATTTAAACATATTTTGAGAATTAGAAACATATCACCAGACCCAAAGCAGATCATTATTTATAATTCTCTGTAACCTAGAACCTATCTTGTTCTTTCAATGATACAATCAAGAGGCTATAGCTAGGTTTTGTCCCTAGTGCTTTACTCAGATGGGCAGACGTTGTCTCCTCAAGCCTGAGCTTGGCAGTTAATTCAAATTACAGTCATCATTATTTGGTGTTCCTCAGAAACCCTGCCTGTAAATATTTTGCTTTGTGTTTTCCTTTCATTGTTTTATTTGTATAGTTTTATTCAGCCAAACTCCATCGAATAATGCTTTCTGTGATTAAACATTTTTCACTACTGTTAATAACATCAGTGAAAATAAGAAGAGCAGATAAAAAGTGTGTGTGTGTGTGTGTGTTAAGGGGCAGGGAGGCAAAAGAGAAAGGATCCTCTGTCCTTTTGATTCTTTGCCAATTGCCTAGCCTGCAGCTGCTTTAAATGCAGAGGCTTCGTAGCTGCTGTCATCCAAGCCTTTAGGAATGTTCTCCTTTACGTGCCAAATGGAAAACAGCATCATTTGTGAGACATGGAAGCGATGCAGAAACAGTGACAAAAGAGCCAATTTTACATTTAACAGTTGTACCTAGTAGAATTAAGGAAAACTAGTATTGATTATTAGTGGCATATCTTAAGATAAGTATAATGTAACTTGAAGGTTAGCACTACTAATGGTGGGCAACTCAATCCATGGCTTTCATGTTGCATATGTTCACAGTGCATTAGAGCTTGACTAATATTTCATTTTAACTTTCTGTTGTGTCTGAATAGGGATAGGATTAAAATTATATACTAATACATGTAATAATGTGGACAGGCTTTAATAAGAGTTGTTAGAGATATTGGTAAGCAACTTTATTTAATGTAAATGAGTAGCTGGACATAAGTCATCTTTTCACAAAAGTATCATCTGATTTTGTCATTTTATTATTCTTCATAATGCCTTCCTTGTGTCATTGAATCCAAAACTTCAAATTTCAACAGTAGCAGATTCTATATTTTGAGGGAATCAAATACATGTGCAGTTTCAAAGGAATCTTAGCAGTTAATGTATTTTCAAATACATTGAGTGCATTTATTTATTCATATAGATATGAAGTGATCATAAGAGAGGTCAGTGATAAAGAGACAATGATATGGCCACTATTTAAATGGAATTTGAAAATGCCCTTTTTGTTTTTCATCCTTTTAATGATGCAGGTCGCAATAAAATGGCAAAAGGTAATGTAAATATTAAACATTAGATGGATACACTTATAGTATAAAAATGCTTGGAAGTCAGATTTTTAGCAAACACACAACTAATCAACTAATAGAGGCTCTTAAGACCATCAAACACATTTTCGAAGTAATGTCCTGGCTGAAATGGTCATTGGTCATTTGTGTGCTTTACCGAAAAAGTGGCTCCACTGAAGGGGCTGAGTTACATTTAGTTCTAACGAGGGTGCCCATTTCTTCTTAAGTCTCCCAAAAGGTATGATAGGCAGATGGTTATGTTGTCCTGAAGGCTGCAAGTAGAATGCAGCATTTAGTTTGACACATTAATGTTCTTATTTAATAAAAATATAAAGCATCTGGATGAAATCCTGAGATGCCTTTAGTTAATTAACTCTTCTAATTAATGACAATCAGACCCAACAGCCTTCTTTCAACACAGTACTCCATTCCACAATGAAGAGGTCTTGTGTAGCAGATTTGCCTAATGTAATACGTTGATTTCTTGACTGCTGCTTCCATGAACATTGATTCGGGATCCACGCAAGATGCAAACAGTTACAATCTCAATCTTTTGTCCATGTACACAATACCATCTATTTGTCTTGTAGTGAGGATTTGGAGTTTTCCTCCACACTGAAGGCAACAGTCATGGATCTTCATCAGCAAGTGCTTCAAGTCTTTTTTCGATAGGCCGACAGTGTTGTGTCATATGCATATCGCTCGCTGTTAATAATTCTTCCTCCAATCTTGATGCCACATTTTTCTTCACATACTCTAGTTTCTCATAGTATCTACTCAGTACGCAGATTGGATAAGAATAATGAAAGGATCCTGCCTTGGCACACGCTTTTCCCGATTTTAAACCCTGCAATACTACCTTGCTCCAGTGAAGTGACTGTCTCTTGGTCCATGTACAGGTTACATAAGACTACAATAGAGTATTCCCATTCCTTCTCAAAGTCTTTCAGAGTTTTTATGATCCACACAGTCAAATGTATTTGCATAGTTAATAAAACACAAGTAAACATCTTTTTTCTGGTAGTCTAGCTGAGAGTCATTATCCATCTGATGCTAGCAATGATTTCTTTGCCAATGATGTTCCATGTCCTCCTATGAATCTTGCTTAAATTTCTGGCAACTCCTTGTCAATCTACTGCTGCAACCATGGTTAAATTATCTTTAGTAAGACTTTACCTGAAAGTTATTGTTTGATAATTTCTGTTGGATCATATTTCTTTCTTCACCTGAAACTTTGTGTTGTTGTTGCCTGAAGAATCTAAATAGATGCTAAAGATTGTGAAACATTGTGAGCTCAGTATTATTCAATCTCTTATTAATCGAACTAATTGGGACAGGAGGCAAGAAGGATTTCACTATAAGGGAAGCACTAACTCACTTCCTGTGAGGCCAGTTTTTCCATGATTCCTCACTGAGTCTGATGACATAATGTGTTTCCAAAAATAGGATTTCACGACTTGTTTCCAAATAATAGGATTTCATAATTTTTTTCCAAAAAATGGATTATATTTTGCCACCAAGTGTGCACCATGTGTGCAAAATATTTACTCAGTGCCCTATGAGGAGGCTTGCCTTATATTTCTCAAAGTATACTGTTCATGTTACTCCATGGTTCACTGTGAAAATATATTTTGCCATATGATGTGTCTTTGAAGTTCTTCACATCTACATAGTATCTCTGAGGTGTTATAAGTTTCTATTCTAAAATGAATAGAGAGGCAGAATAATTAGAAAAAAATGAAATTAATTAGTTACAAAATTTCCCTTTAGAGAAGGATAGAATAGAAGAGTGTGTTTCAGTTGATCCACAGACTTGGTTTCCCTTCACTGTTCGATCCAGCCTAGATGGTATGACTGGGCAGGCACATGTGATTGAGAAGACTCAAGAACCTGTTGTAGTTGAGGGCCAAAAAACTTGAGTGATGATTGAACCGCCAGAAACAGCCTTGATTGTGAGGAGGAAGAACCTGATCAAAACAGGATTATGGACAAGGCCGGGGCTAGAAGGTCTCTTCCAGCATCCTGTGCATCTTGTTCACCTGCCATTCCCTTGGAGCCCAAGGGGCCAACCCTGTCTTTTCTTTCCAAAAAGTTTCTACCGGACCTCAGCGCAATCTATGATTAGCCCCTTGCCACCCATTTCCCATTTTCTCACCAATTAGTCTCTCTGTCTTTTACTTCACCATGGGGATGACATTGCGAAAGGGAAAATCTGTTGGCAACAGAATTCACATTAACTGACCCGAGCAAAGATGTCTGAGCAGTATTAGTCTGTTCCTTAGGCAAGACCAAGAAAGGTGATTAATGACCACCCAAATAGAAAGAGGAGGTCCTAGAGACACCAACTCCATCAAGCAAAACTTCTTGCTCATTCAGTGACAACAGCCTTGCAATACCTACTGTGGCCTGGAGGAGACTCTGGAGAAACCTGAAAGACAGAGCAAACACAGAACCATCATGAGGATACACAGGGGATAGGTGGTTGTTGAAAAATGAATTTCACAGATTGTGAAAATGAGCTGCATGTGTCAGGAGCGTCTGTGTTGATGGAAAGGTAGGGTAGGATGGGAAGGATGGGGAGACAGACTGCTTCAGAAGGAGGGCAGGGAAAAAAAAAAAGGACAGAATATTACCATTTTTTTCTTCTTGTTTTGAGTCATTCTACTTTTAAATTCTATGCATATCAAAGTCCTTTTTATACCTACCTTTCCCTTGGTGCATAATCAGTATAAGCTGTTCAATATAAAGGACTTAATTTTCTACTAAATGGCTTGGGTTGAGACTATTGACTTTAATGAAATAAATTATAAAGGGTGCCCCTCTTTCATATAACGCAGGAAAAAATTACCAGGAACAAGAATCATTGTAATGTAGTGTACCCAGTTAATCTAACTAGTAATATTTTCAAGTCAGATCATTTGGAGATTATGCACTTATCAATGAAAATAAATGTGCCTTTCAGGGAGTTTGGCCGCTGGAAAGTAAATAACCTTGCAGTTGAGAGAAGAAACTTCCTTGGCTCCCCTCTGCCGCTCGCCCCGGAATTCTACCGCAACATAAGACTGTTGGGACGTCGACCTACCCTTCAGCAAATCACAGAAAACCTTATCAAGAAATATGGGACCCACTTCTTGCTATCTGCTACTTTGGGAGGTACGATGCTTTAAAACAATTATCATTATGTGTATTTACATATCAAACTGTATATCAAAATAAAAGTGTAGATTCATTGAGATAGCAGCAGTTAAAATGGCCTTTAAATTATTCATCTATTCAAGGCATTTACTGAGTGACTATTAAACACCTAATTCACGACCACGAGGTAGGTGAATATCATGTACCCTTTTCCTTAAGAGTAATTTTTAGTCTAATAATATACATATATTATTGTTGAGCTTTTTCTTTGTGTTCAAATGAAAAAAAACCAACAACATAAGTGATAACAGTTCAGTCATTGATCTGGACATGGAGAGCAGGAATGAGCTCCTAGGGTGAATAACAAAATTCCAAATGTACATTTTTCATTCCACTGTTGTATTTCTAATTGTTGTGGATTTGCACTCTGAAAAGAGTGATAAATAAGTATATATTGTTATGCATGATGAGAGAGCATAGTGATCAATCATGCTATTCCTTAATTAACTTTGGATTTATAAAACTAAAATATTAATGATGTCTACTATGGTGGGTGGTATAGGATTCATCAATTTGTACATAAGTGAATTATATTTAAGGAGTTATTTGTGTAACGGACAAAGGAAGTCTTTTTCTTAATATTTAAAATATAACTCTATACAATTAATTTTAGATGTGGATTAAAAACAAATATAACCATTACAATTAGAGCTAGATGTTCTGCTACTCTATAATTAAGAGCAAGAAACCCTGGTAGTCAAGGGGTTCATGTGCTCAGTTGCTAACTAAAAGGTCATTGGCAGTTTGCTTTTGTAAGGAAGTATAGTCTTGGAAATAATATGGGGCAGTTACAGTCATCCTATAGGATCATTTTTAGTGTGAATCAACTAGATGTCATTATATTTTTGTTTTTTAAAGTAGTAAAGAGCTTTTAATAATATTCGATGGAAAAGTCACAAAGGCTATCGAGGTGAGTCCCTGTTTTACTGTCAGATTCTCTGTACAGTTACCAAAGCCCACATCTGGGCACCCGGACTCAAGTGAGGAATGGGAGGTGGCACATGGAAGACAGCTGTTCTTCATGTTCCTGGTCTTAGAAGAAGGACCCGTCTTTCTTTTTTGGCCATTCGTGCCTGTAGATAAATCATATGAGCATATTCTTCCAGAATATATCCCAAATCAATTTTTTTCCAAGCTCTACACCAAACTCCCTGAACTAAATCACGATTGTATTATTTTTATTTCCCCCACTTCCAGTGGTCCATCCTTTGCTTGGAATGTTTTAACAAATTTACTTCAGATAATACCATTCTCTCCTTTAATCCAACCCTGGAATGGGCCACTACAAATAAAACCCAAACATTTCACTATGGTTTATATAGAATTCTAGAAATGACCTTACCCTAGCTTACATTCAGACCTTATATTATCTCTCATTTTCCTTCTTTATTCTTCAACCACAGTACGTTTCACACCTTTTTAAAATGAAAATATTACTTTCTTAGACGTCTCCTTCCTCATCCTATCAGTAATAGTCCCAAATAATCCCAATTATTCTCTATCATTGTATGATCTTATTTGGAATATTTCATAGTCTTTATTATGATGTAAAGTTATTTTGTCTAATGTTCCATTATTATCAGTCACTTAGGCATATTTTCTTGAAATCAAGGACTTTGCCAGTGTTTTAATGCTTCACTCCAGTGATTACAATAGTAATTCATGCACAGTAAGTTCTCAACTATTTTTGTTAAATTAGCAAAGTCGTGAGGTCCCTGAGGAATCCTGAAAATAGACTTCTACCTCGGGGAGTAGTACTTGGTACCTCACCAGTACCGGTTGGGGGACATTCACAAAAGTCAGCAGATAGACTGGGAACTATTTATAGGTTCCACCCCACCTCCCAGCCTTTTAAAATGATATATGTCTATCTGTAGAAGATCAGCAGGATAAAGGATCCCAAGGAGAAGGCAATAGGGCCCTTCATTTTCGGGGGTGTGGGGCATGGAAGAAGAGAAGGTTGTGGGAAGGGAACTGGGAGCCAACAAACTCAGGGATGGGGGAACAACCAGGGATCTAAAATCAACAGTGAGGAGGGTGCAGAGTATCCGGTGATGTTTGATTAATTGTAATGTTGCCAAGAGGAATTACTGAGAGCTGAATGAAGGGTGACCATTATAGTTGGACAGGAGAAAAGTAAAAGGAAATAGAGGCAAGAACTGGAGGTATAAGCTATAGAGAGAGGTATAAACATAGATATGCATACATGTAAATATATTAATATATAAAGATAGGGTTATTGGTCTATGTACATATATTTATGGCAAAGTATTGAGGTAGCAGATGAACTTTGGGCCTCTATTTAAGTCTTCCCCCAACACTAGAACACTTTGTTCTAATAACCCGGCACAGTGTGATACTCGCAATTGTTGAAGACAAAATGGGATAAGCAAATGTGGTGAAGACAGCTGATGGTGCCCAGCTTTGAAAGATATTGCATCTGGGGTCTTAAAGGCTTGATGTTAAACAAGCAGCCATCTAGCAGAGAAGCAACTAAGCCCACATGGAAGAAGCAGACCAGCCTGTGTGATCACGAGGTTAGATGGGATCAGGTATCAGAAGACCAAAACCAAACAATTATATTGATTTGAAGGAGAGGGGTCAATGTGTCGACCCAAAGCCCATCTGCTGACAACTGGACATTCCCTCACAGAGGGGACACAGGGAAGGGACAACTCGCTCAGGGTGTAGTATAGACAGCACTGTCGAAACACACTACATTCCTGATCCTTAATGCTTCCTCTCCCCAACTATCATGATCCCAGTTCTGCCCCACAAATCCTGCCAGACCACAGTACATTGTGTGTATATTGGTACACATAAGAGTTGTTGACACATGGAACCCAGGACAGATACAGCCCTCAGAAACAGTAGCGGGAGTAGGATTTATGGATTATTATAATATCTGTAAGAGCCCCCAATAAAGTGATTTAATATTTAAAAGTAATAAATAAATAAACAAGTTAAATGACCCTTTACTCAGTGACTCAAGTTAATTCACTTGATATCAAAAGTTTATAGCATAAACAGAAAGTAATTGAGGCAAATTTTGGAAAAGAGACACAAATAGAAAACCTGAAGCAAGTCAATGTCCTAGAAAAAGATTCAGAAATAGGGAGAACCGGGAAGCAAACAAGACCATTGCAAACAAATGGGGTAGAAGTTGGAAAATGAGGAGGTCCCTGGGATTTTTTTTGCCATTTAAATTTTCTAGTTAACTTCAAGGAGTTATATGGGGAGAGTATACCTGAGTCAGGAGAGCGGGGAATTCTAGAGATTTTGAGCAGGCATTACTTCTCCATTCCCTATATTAATGAAGTAATCATAATGAAGTAAAATATTGTGGCCAAGAGATTAGATTAACTTGAGGTTAAATCCTGACACCCTCCCCTTAACATTTTTAAAAATCTATGAAAGTTTAAAAATAATTTAAAAATAATTCAGTAATTTATCTGAATAATTTTATTTTTCTTGACAGTCGAAAAGAGTGATTTATCACCTATGTGCTAGGATCATGACAAAATTATGGTTCCTGTAGATCAATGCCATTGGCATAATATACATATCATTTAAATAATCAAGTGTTTTTAAAGTACTTTTGTAATTACAGCAATACAGATAAGGAGAAAAGGAAATAGCACAGTAATTGAGAGAACTATGATTCTATGAAAGCTGTGTTTATTTGCCTTATTAATTTAATTATTAAACCATAAAATGTGAAGCAAAGGTGAACATTAGATTTTTCTCTAAGATCTTCTCTGAAAAGCCCAGTAGTTTGGAAGTACTTATGAGGGGTCAGAAATAAAGCCTGCTGGAAGTAAGACAGGAAGAAAAAGAGAATAGATTTTAAAAAGTCCTGATGCCATTTTGATACTTAGTAACAAAGTTTCTCCAGATTTTTTGATGTAATATTTTACTAGCTTGATCTTATAGTCACCACACTGTACCTTTGAGATTCATCATGGTCTCTGTATTGTGCTTGCTGGAGCCCTGGGGGCCTAGTGGGCCTGAGCTGGGCAGCCAAAGACTAGATAGGTCATCATTTGGAAGCCAGCAGCAGCTCTGTGGGAGAGAGAGGAGGCTTTGCATCCTGCAGTGAGTTACTGTCTCAGAAAATAGGCCCTGTGGCTCAGAATTGATTCAACAACACTGAGCTTTCATTGTTGTGTTTGCCTATAAATCATGGTTCAAGCAATTTCTAGGGTTGCATTTCTACTTTGTGTTCCTTATTCCAATGGTGGCAATATGGAGTTTCAAAATAGTTTTACTGTTACTACTTAAAACCTTGTTTTATTATTTCATCATAGGGAGGTACATGTCTCTGCACATAAATGCACAGAGTTAAAAACTGTTCTCCTGTACGACTATACAGAGATTTGCTTACTATCTAAGAGTTATGTCTGATTTTCACTCTCACTTGCTTTCTAATATCTGAATCATCCTTGCATTTGCAGTCTATGGCATTTTCGGTTTGAATGCTCCTTTTTTCTCTTGGAATGTTACTTATATTTTTATTTAGGAATCTGTTTGGCCATGCTAATAATTCAGCTAAAATGCATGGAATTGTTTAAATAGCTTAAGGATATGAACTAGTTATAATTAAAATGTGCACCGAAGATGATTTCAGGCAAATTTTAAATTACTGCTGTTGTAATTACAATAAGCTTCTTTGTTGGGCTGAGTGTATACTTTCAGCTTAGTACTTTACCTGACTGAACATGAAATTGTATTCATCTATTTGTTTTTCTTTGAATCTTATAGTATTTAACTTGAACTAACCCTCTCCAGCTTAATTGACTAGGACCAAGCAATGCTGTAATAAAAACACATGGAAGATGTCAGTGAATATAAGTTAAGCAAAAAAAGTAAATTTGTAAGATGTTTCCTAACTAACTAGATTTCCTATTAAATTAACACATTTACAAACAATTTGACTATAAAACATCCACTAACAGGGC